TGTTCGCCGTGATGGGCTTTCGACGAATCTTAACTTCGAAGCAATTCAAAGCTTTCCAAGATTATGAGGATTGGAATCCATTCGAACGTGATTCGAAGGAACTCGCGAAAATCTTGACGAATTTCTTGAATGTTTAATCTCGAGTCCTTCAAAATTTCGATACTTCATTAAAATTTAAATATCGATATTCGAAGGTTCGATTAGAGATTTACGATCTAGTCGAAAGAAAGAGGCTCTAGAGGTTTTAGCGGTGAAAATGAAACGCATTTTATTGGAGCGATATATTTTATGTTTTGCCGAATAAGAAGAGAAGCAGGGAAGAAGATTAAAGATTTTAGAGTCGAAGTATAAGACAGACTCTTCCTCTTATTTTTTTCTTTTTCCTTAAAGAGATTGATTCTTTTTTCTTAAAGATTAATGAAATGTTCACCATATAATTGCGTAATTATTTTACAATTTTATAAATTCAACGTTCAGTTCTCAAAATCGAAATCCTATAGTTCTTTTATCTTTCGGTTGTATTGAAAATAGACTGCGTTTATTCGCTAGACGAAATACATTTACGCTGTGCAAACACGATAGACAATGATAGTGGCGATATCGAAATTTGGCCTTGCTCAAGTCATCAAGAACAATGTTTAATTAGTTACCGTTGTTAACAACGACTTTAGCAATTATCGTGTCAGCTATTATTGGTTTCTTGACTCGTTTTGATAAGACACCGAGAGGTCACCCCTGTCAGGCTATTAGCTTTTATTTTGCACCTATCAGGATGATATCGCCCCCTGAGAAAGGTCAGTCATGGACTTTGATCGTTTATTTGCAACGAGATAGTCAACATTATAGTTAGGTTGCAAATTGATGTGCTTTTTATTTTTACTTTTATTGCTGTAAAATACCCAGCGATGCTTCTATTTAAAGTCTATTTAAATTCGGAATTGAAATGCTGTTATCGATAGATTATACAATTTTCTGCAAATTTCTATGAATAAAGCTAAAGAAATGAATTTAAATGCGGCGTTTACGCCAATCAAGAAACCGTTATTTTAAGTTTAGTTAGCTTTATTTAGATACTTTAATTTATACATTTCAGTTAGACGCAGCGTAAAACGAATTCACCGTTATCGCTTGTCACTAGCAGCAAAACACTTGACTTTTCCTTATGATGTGAAAAAATCATGCTACTTACATATTTTCTGTCAAAACTTGAGCGTCGCAGTATCAATTACCGCTGGAAAATATCTATTTTCGATTAGTCAGGCACTCCTACTCCATAAACATCCGCAATTTCTCAACTATCTTAGCGATTAAGCAAACTGATCTGACGAGCGAGCATTCTGCATAAAACTCGATAACGAAGGTTATCAGAGATGCTTCCTATTTGCACACACGACAGACAAATAAACCTGACATTTAAATATAACCTGTACTGATACCGGTGATACTAATAAGAAAAAAATTCAGAGATAAAAATTAATATATTTCAACATTGAATCGGGCATTTAAATATAATCCATCGATCGATATAATCCGATTTAACAGAAAAACCAATAAGAGAGAAGGATCATAATCTTTATTCTCTGTAAATTATAACGAGAGAACAATTGTATGGAAGAATCAGTGCTTAGTGACCCAGCTAATCGAACAAAGCTCGCGATTAAACGTCGATCGCGTGTTTGTAGTCGCGAGAGTCAAATATGCAATCACGGTCACGTGCACATATGTATTATATGAACGAAGAACATCTTGCATACAGATACGGACTCGTGTCCATCCGTGTGATTGAACCAGCACGAACGTGATGTACAATGGATTGCGAAAGTATCGAACAATTATCACAAACAGCTATTATGTATATAACGTGTTATATAACATTTTGAAATTTCATTAACATTGTAATTAGAGTCAACTATTACGATTATATCGATAAAGTTTCAAATATTATAATAATAAATATTATTTAATAATATTTTGTACATTTGACATATGTAATATTTAATATGCAATTAGGTATGTAGATGATAGACAATACTTATGTAATGGTAAAATAAATAAGGGTAAAATAAGGGTGGATATGTGCGTAGATGATTAAGTGCGTAACCGGAAGACTGAAAGTGAGTTATACCCCTACTGTTACTATATTTTACTACTATACTTTATACTATATTTTATATAAAATATAAAATGCTTAACCATTATTTTAAATATATCGTAAGTTTGCAGTGAATAGCTTGTAACTTCTACAGATATATAAACATTCTTACGTTTGCTTCAAATTTTACTAGTATAATCGTGACGATATAATCATGAAACTCGTTACAACGCTGATTAAATTTGAAAATATTTCGTACAACACACATACCTTGGTAAAATATTTACAGTAGGTTTCTGCAAGTGTTCGAATCCTTTTCTGAACTAACTATTGTAAATACGTGTGTGTATAGAACGTTGGAAGAACACGGTCGAAGGACATATTTGTGGTACATATATTAGAGTGTATGCCGCGAGTCTCTAGAACGATCATTTTTAAGTAGCAATGGCTAGTATTGGCGAAGGTCGAATTTTTCGACCT